CTCATCTTCATGAGTCCCAAATCTTCAGACATCCCATAAACAAAAAAAAATAACCCCACTTCAACAAAAAGCCTCATTGATTTCGAAGAAAATTGACAATCTTAATATCAATGGGGCCCTCAAACTCATTTCAACCAATGACACTCTGGCGGAATCCAATTTAGAAACCTTAATTAAGCTTCGATCAAAGCATCCCACAACAACATTTATGCCAATATTGCCCCAACCCTTCTCCCATTGTGCAGCAGATTTCACACAGGAAGAAGTAAGGAAAGCAATCCTATCTTTTCATCGGGATTCGGCTCATGGTCTAGATGGGATTAGACCAATTTTTTTACAGGACATTACCTCTCCAGTGATCTGTACACAGGTTTCAATTCTCACTAAATTCACAAACTTAGTCAACAAAATCCTAAATGGAGACGTACCCAGCTTTATTACCCCCTTACTATTCGGTGCCAGACTCATCGCACTCCAAAAACCAAACAAGGACATTCGGCCCATCGCCATTGGTTCAACTTACCGTAGATTGGTCGCTAAATTAATCGCATCTAGAATCAAACACGATGCCGCACACATTCTAAGCCCCTATCAACTTGGTGTAGGGATACCTGGTGGGTGTGAAGCTGCTGTGCACTTAACAAGAATTCACCTTGAAAATAACCCAAAAAACGAATCCCTAGTAAAAATTGACTTCTCTAACGCCTACAACACTCTTTTGCGCAACACGTTCCTACATTCAACTTGCTTCCATTTCCCCGCTTATACCAAATTTCTTTTCTCTTGCTACCAATCACCAACAATCTTACAATTCAACAAAGAAAAGATACTTTCTGTCGAGGGGATCCAACAAGGTGACCCTCTCGGATCCCTTCTCTTTAGTCTTGGAATCAATGACATGATAAAATAAATAAACTCTTCATGTACTCTATCGCTCCACGCTTGGTATATTGATGATGGAATTTTGAGTGGTCCCAGTAGTGAAATTGCCAAAGCAGTCACCATAATTAAAGAAATGAGCACAGCCATTGGACTTTCGCTTAACCAGAGCAAATCTGAATTCTCACTTTTAAATTCTAATGCTCCTAACACTCACGATTTCAAATTCACATCAAGCGTTGAATTAACACATCTAGGATCGCCTGTTGGAGGACACGAGGCAATAAGCACCTTTCTTCATTCCACACTTGACATACTCCTTAAACTGGAGGACATCTTTACACTTCTTCCATCACACAAGTCCTTTTATTTGCTAAAAAATTTCTTTTTTATACCAAGGATTCTTTACGCACTTCGGTCAACACCAATTTTTAAATATCCTATTCCTCTCCAAACTTACGAAAAAGGAATAAAGGACTTAACCGAAAAAATAGTAAATATCAGATTCAACGAAACCGCTTGGGCCCAAGCAACTCTTCCAACCAAATTTGCTGGTCTCGGCATCAGATCTCTACTTGACTTAGCAACAACTACTTTCATATCGAGTAGTCTCTTGACAAAGCCAATAACCACCGCCCATAATTCTAAAGAAGACCTTTCCTTAATCGTGGCTATGGATATTTGGAAAACAAGGATCAATGCTGATTCTCATCCCCCCACAACCCATAAACAGAAAGACTGGGATGCAATAGTGGTTGCTCGCTGCGTTGAAACTCTCTTATCTAGCATGCAATCTACCGACCGCACCCTATTCTCTTCCTTGCTCAATGGTACGGGACATGAGTTTCTTGAGGCCATCCCATCTACCAATCTTCAGCTTCAACTATCCAACAATGAATTTACCCATGCCATCGGCATTCGTCTAAATTGTTCCATCACTCACCCCCACATCTGCTCAGGGTGCAACTCGCCAGTTGACTCGAAGGGTAGACATAGTTTACATTGTCGCTCCTGCAATGGACGATTCATCAGACACAAGCAATGTAATACAATCATCCAACATGCTCTGAAATCCGCCCAAATTCCTTCCACGTTAGAACCACAGGGTCTTTTTAGATCTGACGGTAAACGTCCTGATGTGATCTCTCAAATCCCATGGAGGAGAGGCCAACTTTTGGTATGGGACTATTCCTGTATTGACCCCCCCCCCCCCCCATCCAACCACGCCATCAACATCCTTGACCAGAAGGAACAACTTAAAATTTCTAAATACACAGAAATAATAAACGATCATTGCTTCATCCCAATCATATCAACCACTCTTGGCACCTTCGGTAAACTCGCCTTAGCATTTTTCAAAAACTTAGGATCACAAATCAGCAAACTCTCAGAAGAACCTCGAGAGGGTTTTTTTCTTCGTCAACGATTATCCATAGCGATTCACAAAGCTAATTATATCAGTTTCAATGGTAGCCTTCTAGCCAAAGAGCTATCATAGACAACGCTTACTTCCCTTTTTCATTTTTGTTTCCCTGCGTCACACCATCTCCGTTCTTTTTTTTAAATAGTATTATTATATATTTTTCAAACATTTTTAAATATATTAAAATTTATTATAATGAAAATTTAAATTATTATATCTTATATTGATAATAAACTATATAAAAAATTTGGAAAAAAAAAATAAAAAGTATATTAAAAATTAAAACCATTGGTATCTTTACAGAATACAAAATTAGATATGATATCGAATCGGTTCTTGAAAACTTCAAATATGGTCAATATTAAAAAAAAAATTAAAAACGTTTAGTAAATTACTTAACAATCCCTTGAATTTCGTATTTTACATCTTTGAATTAGTTTTGTTAAACGGCTCATTTTGAACCGATTTTTAAAAAAACGGTAACTCAATATTTTATTAGGAAAATTATTATGCGAGCCTTAAGATTTTGCTCATAGGTGGCACAAACGTTTGAACATCTATCAACGAAATCTCAATGCTTAGACAATATTTTTCTGGCTAAAATACTGAGTTACCCGTTTTTTAAAAATAGGCTCAAAACGAGCCGTTTAACAACACTACTTTGAATAAGAAAAGTCTTTGTCCCACATCTGCAAATCATGGTAAGATTCAAATATATTAACCTAGATTGGTTACCACACCATTTAAATAAATATATATTAATTTTTAATTTAGACATATAGGTTCGGCCCTGAAGGCTTAATTACAAATCTTTTTTAAAACAAAATCAAAATCCGGGATGGGCCATTTAAAAATTATCCCATCTGTTGGAAAATCGTAATGAAGAGATTGATACAGGGGGAGGGGGGGGGTTACACCATAATTATCACGACAAAATTCATCACATGATATACTATCTTTTGAATATCAATTTTAAGCTTATTTTAGCAATTAAGCGAAAAATTATTTAGTGGCCTTTACTTAGCCCTATAAAAGTGAATTATAATATTAATTATTTTTTTCATCAATTAATTTGATCTTATAATGGTAACACTAATAAATAATACTCAATTATATATAACTCGTATTTCAATTTAAATTTGAAAAAAAAAAAATTACATTTTTATCATTTAAAATGTTTAAAAAAGATAAACTATTTTTTTTAAGCTTATTCTCTAAAATTGAATTAACCTAGAGGCCAAAAAAAGTAAAATTTCTTTCTATGACCACTCCACTTCCCAACACGTTTTTTCAACGATAAATAACAAATTCAGCTTAATAATTGTGTGCCTCCCATACCAACCCTTTTTTAATGCATACGATTTTAGGTTTATTTTAATAGCTAGCTTAATTTTTTTTAACGATTAAATGGCACCTGATATGACTGAAATGAACAATTTTTTTATTTATTCAATAAATGAAATGATTTTAGGCAAAGTTTTGTGAAGGCTCAGAACGATTTATGGATCCAATATAATGATAATTATTCTAATAGATTATTAGTCGACGGACTATGGGCATTTTAAGCTAAAAAAACAAAACATTATATTGAATCACCTAATGACTACTTTATAATAAGAATTTTTAATCAATAAACTTTTATTTAAATACTACTTATTAGTAAGCATTATGGAATATGAATTTTAATAATTTGTAATATATAAAATAAAAAAAATTTCTTTTATTTAAATAAAATTAATTTGTAATTTCTTGTGGAATCTAAAAAATATATTAATATCTAAATTAATAACACCTCCCAATGTTACCTAGTTGGAATTGGTATATGAATAAAGTTTTCCATATAGCATTACATATCACTGGAATGATAGTAGCAATGCAACTTTTGCTTATTCTACTACTATAGGATAGTTGGTAAGGTCTGTTAAGTATCTTAAATGGTTTATTTATATATATTAATAACTAAATATATCACCTTAAAGTAACAAATAGTCACTTTTCAGGAGATATTGTTATTTATGCATTTGTTTGCATATATGCATAATTTTATTTTCAATTTTGTTAAGTAATAAAAAACATCTGGATAGTCAGATAGTGAAAGAATTGGAAATTTTTTAAATTAATATAAATCATATAAAGATCTCTTAATAAATTATACTTTTCGTTTTTTTTGTAATGTCTGTTATAAGATTCATTTGTATAAAAAATCAGCTATATATATAAATCGTTGCTTGTTTAGAAGTAAAAAATATTGGGATAAACGGACCTCGGAAAACGTTTTGAAACAAAACGTCGTGTTTGGAAGTGACCTATATAAGCTATTATATGAGTTGACAAAGGATTATTTCTGTATTACCACCAGTTTGGTGCTAGAACCCTAAAAACTGTACAAAATCTAGAAATCGAAAACCCCTTAAAATTTATTGTGGAATCAGAACCAATGTTTTAAAAATATTCGAAAAAAATGCAACTCATTTTATCAACAAAAATTTAATTTTTTCCCCATAACACTTAACATTCTTAGATATTATTTTTATTTCATAGAAAGTGAAAATATTTTTTTTCTACTAAATAATTGTTTTGGTGTCTAATTATTAATACAGGTGTGCTCATCATTATTTAAAATAATCCGATATTGCGATACATACAATGATTTTGTAATTGAAATGAAATTTAAAATTCAATAAAAATACTGACGGACTTTTTTTAAAAAAATGCGTTTATTTATTTTTCTAATATAAATTTAAAATAATATAAAACAAAATTATATTTGATTTGTGAATTTAAGGAAAAAAATAATTATAAAAGTAATTACTAATTATATAATTTTTTTCATTGATTATTTCGATAATAAATCTTATTTTAAATATTAAATCTCTCCATCATCATTCGTTGCGATTCATGGGAAAATCTAGTTTTAAATAAATAAAAAAAAGCATTAGTAAATTTGAATTTAAAAATATTTATATTAACTTCGTTTGTATAATTAATATTTCTATCTACACTAAAAACAAATTCGATTCATATTTTTGTAGGTATATTTCTATCTACAAGATTACAAAATTGTTTGATTAAGTTGAATTAGGGCGTGAATCAACAAGTTAACAATGACATAATATTTATATATTCATATTTGTCTCTATTTTCATATTTAATATAAGTTAAATGATATATCAATTTAATTTTTATTTAACATTCAAAATATATTAGTGTCCACAAATTAACATTTAAATTAATGGATACATCAATTAAATTTTTCTTAATATTCAATTAATTTAGTTATATCATTTAATTACTATGGTTGATAATGAAAATCTATTTATAGAAGCAACAGATAAATCTTATTTAGGTATAGTTTTTTACACTATAAAATAATTAAATTATATGTCTTAAATTTTATGAAAATTTAAATTGTATCATGTTGTAAGAGAATAGAATTAATATTATTTTAGGTTTGTGGTTCATAAACTAAAAGACAATTAACTATTTTTCCCGAATTGTAAATTTTGTTTTTATCTGAAAAAAGAATATATTTTTTTTAGTTCTAAGCCCCCCAAAACGGCTAAATCAACAAATATTATCTAAGCCTCAAAAATTTCGCCAAAATTTTAAGCCATTTTTGGGGGAAATCTCAGTGCGCGTAGATAAGGTAACAACATTAGGTAGATCCAAAATGAGTCAACCAATCTTCCCATAATAAGTTTTCATTTCCGTGATATCTACCATAAAAAGGCCCAAAAAATGAATAGCCTTAGTCTGGCCACTCATCTAATCAGATCGTTTTGTGCCAACAGTAATGATGATCCCTTCGAGTTTGTAAAAATTAACCAAAAAATAATATCTGAGGAATAGGATAAGGAATCTATGTTTCTCCCAAAAATTATGTTTTATAAATGTTTTTTTTTAAAAAAAAATTTCAAAGCCCAAAATATACTATACGATCTTTCGGATGTTTGAGATAACGGCGCATCAAACTATATATATATATAACAATGATAGGAGTAGGAAATATTTTGTGTCTTCCTTTATTTTTCTTTTGATATAAGTTTGCAAAGTTATTAATATCATCATAATTTTTTTTGGATAAATTATTAAATATTATCATGTAGGTTGGAATTGGAAATAGAATATAAAATTTGAGCTTGAGTAGGTGAAGTAGTCACGACTGTTCGTCAATAGGAGAAGAGGTTGATCTGAAGAAAAAAAATCCAAAAATATAAGATTTTTTTAAAAAAAGGAATAACGTATATATTGTGTAGGGTGGGCAAGATTTAATCAAATTGATTTAAATCATGATTATAACTGTACAAATTTTTTATTCGGATAAAAATCACGATTTCATTTAAAATTTTATTTTTTTAATAAACATTAATTTCACTTTTACGAGTGAGTAAATTAGTCCTGAAATAATTTTAAATGATTATAAGTTTAAATTTAAGTAATAATTTCAAAGGTGACCTTAATTTTAACGGATTTTTTTCGCACGAATCATTACCCAAATATAATTGCGATAAACCTTGAGTAAAACCTGTAATAGATCGACTTTAGTTTTACATTGCTCCACAAGTCGAAAAGTTTTAAAAAAACTAGTCATGTGTACAGTAAAACTTGTTTAATATGGACTCTTGGTAATTCGGGCAACTCCCTAAACTATCATTTATTAGAAAAATTTCTCGATAAATTGGACCACTTTCTAATGTTTGGCAAAAATCTTGGTCCGAACAGTAATCAAATTATAAGGGTCTTACTGTATTTAAAGATCAAGTTTAGAAAACCAAACGGGTCTTATAAATTTTTTTTTAGCTACATGGAGATCGTAGAGAGGAGGGTTATAACCTTTTCTAATAAATATTTAAAACAGGTAGGAAATGTTACTTTAATAAGAAGATATTAAATAATTTATTTTAATCAATTTCTTCTTCAAAAATAAAAACAGGTTTCAAAATGGCAATTGTCATTTTCAAAATTACATTAGGCCAAAATAAGCTTAAAATATTTATTTTTAACCATTCACTTTATTAAAAAATTTTTTTTTTCTTTCTGATTATAAAACTCAGATATTTTGATGTCAAAGAAATTATTGCTTCCAAATAATTTACGAGTGAATTTAAGGTAAAATTTTCAGTCTTTCAAAACAAAAATGTTTGAGAAAGGGATAATTTTTTGATAATTTTGTTATAGCCCACCTCCAATTTATATTCATCACTCATTCCAATAAAGGTCAGTGCTGACCAGTTCCAAAAAGTGGAAATTTTTCATCAGATTTTTCAGTCCAACCCTATAAATATTAATTTTTTTATGAAGGAAAAAGACATAGATTTACCTAATTCTAAACTTTAAAAAAAATTGTGAAGTTCAGGCTCAAGCCCATTACAATATTTAGCAGAAGTTGTCCAGCCCTATATAATTTTTACGTGGCTTTGCGCTGTGCCAACATGTAATTTGTATAATTATAAAGTCGATATACATGGTTTTAAATCAGTTCCCATAATCAAAATTTTTTTTCTATATTGAGCAACCACTTAGGGTAGAGGGAGTCACAGCCATATGTAAGTTATCAATTTTTGTCCTTATCATTTTTCCTTTAGAAATTAAAAGCGTTTCATAAAATTTATTCTAAGAAATTGGTTTTTTATTCAGAGCATTTGAGTTTTATATCCCAAGTAATCCATTTATGATAAGCATTTCTCTAATCTGAGAATTTTTTTAGAAATCCATACTGAACATTAAAGGATTTTTATAAACTCTTTTCAATTTTTCTGAAAAATTAAATAGGAGTCATATATATATTAATATTAAAATTTAAAGATTATCTTTCAGCATATAAATCTAACTAAAAAAAATAAACTAATTAAAGACATATGTATTTTGTCAAATTTTAATGTTAATAATACAAAATAAAATTTTCTTTAATTATTCATCTAATAATTGCGAAATGACCTTAGCTTACGTGCTTATTTTGAGTTAAAAATTGTTTTTCTCATAAAATGTATTATTCATTCATAATAATGGAACACAATTTTTCAAACTTGATTCTTTTTGTGCTGTCACACATAATTTTATCATCGTTCTCTTTTGGACGTTTTATTGTAGCTTCAACATTAATATCATTGTCGTCCACCGAGGAGGAGGATTCGGAATCAGAGGAAGCTAATGATTTTGACTCAGGTGATTTTTTGCTATCATTTGTCTTTGTGGATGAAGCAGATGATTCAGAAGAGGAAGATGAATTTTCATCCGATTCGCTGTCAGAACTGGAAGACGTGGATGATCCACTAGAGGTAGATTTGTTTTCTTATATTTATGACATGTATATAATGTTTATAGGTAAAAAAAATAATAATTGTTATTTTCTTGTAAAATATATATCTCAAAAAGGTTTTAAGCATTTTGGATTCAAAAAAATGATAAAACTAAAATGAAGCAAAGTGTGTTAACTAAAAAACTATGTGCGAAATCAGAGATGTACTGCAAAAATCTAGTCTCTTCAAAAAAAAAATTTTTTTTTTTATGAAATTTTTATATTTATATTTGACTTTTTGGGGTGTCTGTATCTACAAAAAATTGCCATGACCCTTCCAAAGAAATAAGGATGCTTATTAAACCTAACTGAGACCTTCATTGACATTATAAATTAATTTAAATTATAAAATAAAATCTATCTCTTAAAAATATGAAAAACAAATCTATCTTAAACTTAAGGATATTAGTTTCTTTGCAAACTTGAGAAATTTATCACCTCTAAAAGGAGAAATTGGGATATTTAGCAACCCAGGTCATGATGCAAAATTATATTGAACGAGTTTAATTATTTGTGGGGTATATATCATCCAAGAGAAGAGTGAATACTTAAAAAATTAGACCGGCAAATTTCCAGGGAAATCTGCTGGTGAAGGTAAAATCCTTCATTGTGGTCCCCTGAGATCTGTCTCATTTTTTTTCCTATAATTTTAATGAAATCGAGGGCCTCGTTTCCAAACATGCCTAGGGTATTGGTAACGATAGGAATGAACATAGTGTTGGCGAGGCAAGCGTATTTATTTTTTTTAAGAATTTCTGCCTTTTCGATAGCAGAAAATGAGAGGTTAGACTTGGCAGCAAAATCAACGCAAGTGTAATCCCATGTTAGCGGAAGACCATTAGACCAGGGTATGAGAGAAATACCATCCGGGCGTATGGCGTATTCGTTTGAAAGACCCACTGGTTCGAGGGTAGATGGGATATTAACTTTTTTGAGGGCGGCTAGTAAAATGTTATTGATAGATTTATGACGAGGGTATCGTCCACGGGAGAACTTGCAGTGCAAGGGATGGTAAGCCTTCGATTCAATGGGCTGACCACAATCGATGCAGATGGAGGGAACTACGACATTACAGCCGAGGCGGAGGGCTATAGATATACGTAGCTGTTCGCCAGTCATGAGGAGGCCAAGATTGGCGCTGGAAATGGCTTCCAACCATTCGTAGCTAGAGTTTGCATTTAGTACCAAATTATTGGGATTTTCCTCAAAGGGCCTGTTCGAAATAAGATATTCAACGGAACGGGGGATTAGAGGAGCATCCCAGTCTTTTTGGGAACTGGAAGCGGGACGGCTAAGGGTGGGAGAGCAGTTGTTGTCCCAAGAGGTGAGGGCCTGTGAGAGGTCAGTATCTGAAGGAGTAGATCCATTGTCGATAATAGATTGAGCAGCAAGACGAGATGAGATAAAGGCTGAGAGGGAAAGTTGTAAGGGGGATCGGATACCAATACCACCAGACTTGCATGAAAGGGTGGCCTGGAGCAAGATGAATTGGAGAATTTAAGGTTTAATATGTTTTCTAGGAGATCCTTAATTTGGGTTTCATGGGAAACTAGCAAATGGCTGCATTTGAAGATCGGTGAGGATCTCAAGGCATAGAGGATTTTGGGTATATTAAAATAGTTTTTGATTAAAAAAAAAGGATTGATGAGCGGGTAGGTAATTAAAAAGTGAGTTTAAATTAGATAAATTGTCGAGGGATTTGTTTAAAAAAGTTTCGATTGCTTTTTCACCCCCTATCGGTGATCCAAGATGTGTCATCTCTTCTCTGTTGATGGCGAGGAATGTGGTTTCTGAAGGGATGGATGTTGTAGGGTTTAAGAAGCAAATCTCACATTTGGAGAGGTTGAGAGATAGTCCTGTTATATAAGAGAGATTTTCGATGATGGGGGGAATGGACATGACTGTGGAGAGGTTGCCTGAGACTATACCGTCATCGAGGTACCAGGAATTTAGAGTGAGGTTAGATATAGATTGAATATCCAGGATTATCTTGTGTATCCCGATGCAAAAAAGGGCTGGGCCTAAGGGGTCTCCTTGTTGGATTCCCTCCTGAGATTTTATTATGTTGTTATTGTACTTTAAAAAAGTAGGGCTAGAGTATCTGTTGAGAATGTATGAAGAATATTGAGGATATTTGTGGCAAAACAAGGGAACATCATATTGACGTTTGATTGTATTGAAAGCATTTTTGAAATCAAGTTTTAAAACGACATTGTTAGGAATATTATTTGAGAGGGTAATGCGAGCAAGATGGGCCAAAATTTCAGATCCTCCAGGTACACCAAACCCTAGCTGAAGTGGCGACAGGAATGAAGAAAGAGATTCCTTTATTCGTGAGGCAATGATCTTAGAAATAGTCCTTCTGAAGAACGACCCAACAGCAATTGGGCGGATACCTCCATCCTTTTTTTTGAGGGCTATAAGGCGGGCACCAAAGAGAATAAGAATGATAGGTGGTGGGAGGGGCCCATTAAGAATTAAATTTAATAACCTGGTAAGGTTCTGCAAGAGGGCTTTGCATGATATGTTAGGTTTTAAAATGTCTTGGATGAAAATAGCACAAATGCCATCAAGGCCTCCAGAAGAGTCTCTTTTGAAATATCTGACAGCTTTGATCGTCTTATCAGAGTTGATTTCAGGGGCTATATGATCGTATTGGCTTGAGAAGGCAAATTCTGAATCACATGAAGGGTGTTTTAGAAGCAAGGCTTCTAGAGTGGACTCATTGTTTGGAGCTAAGGAATCTTCAGAGGCCATGACCCGAAGGGCTGAATTGATAATAAGGCTGTTTATTTTGATTGAAACTATTTTAGCCTTATGGGCAATAGGGAGTGGATTGAATTGGTGGGTCTGAGGTGTATATGTTAGAATAGTCAGGGTTGAAAAGAGATATTGAAGTTTTAGTGTGTTTAGATAATTGGATATTTTTATTATTGGGAATTTTAAGGGTGGAATTGGTAAAACTTAGTAAGTTTTTCCAATTTGATAGGTTTGCAGGATTGTTTACTGTTAAAGGACTCTGCAAAAGAATTGCGAGCACCACACGGAATACGTGATATGATGGAAACATTGGGTACTGATAAAAAATCATTGGCCCATGATTGTAAGTTGGGAGTTTGCTGACTAGGGGGCAAGTTGGTAGCAACAATAGGTGGGGGATGGCTTGCTAAATTTAATAAGCTGAATGGAGGAGGATCTGTAGGTGTTATGCATGGTAACCCTGAACCTAGGCTCTAGAGGATGGAAGGCCATTAACTTGAAACTTTCCTTTGGTAATTTTAGTATATTTATGGCAAGAGGGGCATAAATTATGCATTTGGATTATAGTTGCCAAACTTATAATTGTTGTATTCTTGCTTCACATAGCTATTTAGGCATGTATTATCCATTAATTTTGGAATATATGTAGGAATAGCTATCAAAATTTTGCTTGACAAATATTAGGACAACAAGGACCACATGAACCATTTGTTTGTATTTTTGAGATTCTATTATAAGAGTTGTATTGCAATGGAATGATTTGTTACTTTGGTGACTGAACTTATGTAATTATATAACATTTGTTTTTACACTAATGAATTTTAAATGAAGGATTGGATAAAGTCATCAGCTAAGTTTAGGATTCATTTGATTAATTCCTTAGTTATTATTAATTTATAAAAAGAATATGTGGTAAATTGATCAACTTCATGGCACCACAATGTTTTCTGAGCAAGGAAGGGCTGGAGGGCCGTGTTTGTATTGACGGTCATTTTTTATTTTTATTATTAATAACTTTGTGATAGGCAGGACAGATTCCTTTCATTGTGATGATGATAAGAAAGTTTGATACTTAAGAAGTTTGTTAGTTTGAGTATACAACTAAAACATTGGTATAAGGTTATTTACTGGATTGTTAGATTATATGGGTTTTGTTGTAGATGAGTGCAGAATAATTAATTATTTATTGTACCAGTGTGTGTTTATTTTTATTTCATTGAAAATGTTTTGTGTGAAGTTTCAATTGAGAGAAATCATGTTTTAAGCCCTGAAGATATTGATGTAGGTGGTGGGGGAAAATTAGAAGGTTTTAAAGTTGTAGAAGGGGTCAGAATAATTAAATATGTATAGTGCATGTAAGTGTTGTATTATTATTTCCTTGATAATGTGTTGTAAATAGTTTCAATAAGAGTAAGCTTGTTATAAACTAAGAAGTTATAGGTGCAGGAGGTATAGAAAAAATTAAATTTCAATCATTTATTTATTGTTTTTAAAAGGATTTCAATTGAATGAAATATAATTAGAGCTTATTTGCATAGCATTGATTCTGTGAACAGCTGTAAGGATGGATGAATTTAAAGAATTTTTTGTTACCAATACCCTCCTAGACTTGTTTGGAAATGAGGCCCTCAATTTCATTAAAATTATAGGAAAAAAATGTGACAGATCTCAGGGGATCCCAATGAAGGATTTTACCTTTGCCAGCAGATTTCCCTGGAAATTTGCCGGTCTAATTTTTTAAGTATTCACTCTTCTCTTGGATGATATATACCCCCCCCCCCTTTTTTATAGTCCTTTTTAATGTCTTCATAGATTATATATATTATATATTTATTTTTTTTATATTTAATTTTTAATATATCCATTTTAATATATATTTTTTAATCCTCTGTAATTTTAATGAAAATCGAAAAATAAAATAACGAATAGCATAAAAAATATATATATCAAAAACAGAAATATTATCTAGATAATTAAATTACCTGCATCAGATTCATCATCAGCAGCCAAATCATATTTGGATAAATCAACTTCATTTTCTGTATCCTCTTCCTCACTTTCCTCCAATTCATTCTCTTTATCATAAATTTTATCTTGGTTCTTAACACCATTTTCCTCTAGTATTATATTGGTTGGTTTAGCTATAACTTCAGTCTTCATCTCAATTATCTCTTTAATATTGTTTTCAGTGTTTTTGTTATCCTCAAATGTCTGCTCATCTTCATTGTCATCAGGTTTGTCTAATGATTCCTTTAATGCAAATTAATTTGTAAATTTTATTAAGTTTATTTTTAGGAATATTAAATTAAATTTTATTAATAGTAGGTGAATATGTAAAAAAATATTTTCTAAAATTTAATTCAAATCTTTATCATAAAAAATAATTTCAGCATATTAAGTTGTTTAAATATAAATCATAATTGCAATCTATAAGCATTCATGATTTAACAGTTAGAGCTCATAAATAAGAATATATTATTAACAACTATTTAAAAGTTATATATTTAATTATCTATATAATTTATATATTATTGAAATATAAGAAAATAATGACTTTTTCATCATCTGATATTCCATCGCTTTTCAATTTCTCTCTGTATTTTTTCTTTTTTCGTCCAAACTATAAGGTAAATTAAATATTTTTTTAAAAAATGATAAAATATACTTCATCATATTCTCCATCAGAGTCATCACGTTCAATGTACTCTATACTTTCTCTCTCATTATAACCACCCCCTAAACCTAAAATTTTATGATTTAATTTAAGATGTTCAAATTTATATAAAACCTGTTCTCTCCTCAATTTTCCCAAACTTTGCAGCATTGCAAATGTTACATGTATTTCTTCTAGCCCAGTTGACATTTCCACATTGAGTACAATGCCAATCATCAGCACTAAATAATCCCTTACTCTTTTCAGCTAAAGATTTCCCAATTTCTCTTCCTATTTTCTTAATTTTCTCTATTGGTTTTGCTAATAAAAATTATATTTATATTTTTAAAAATATCATACATATTCCACATCGATTGCACACCTCCCTCCTAGCAAAGTTAACGTTAGCACATCTATTTATAATTAATAAATTATAATTCAAGAATATTTAAGGTTTTCAAATAACTTTGCATCTGGACAAGTCCAATCTGATTGGGGGGTTTTAACATACCTAGTGGCCATTTATTTTTACAATGTGTGAATGCTAATGTTAAGTCCTAAACTATTACCAGTTTTCTAAATTGTGATTGAACTCATTTCCTAATTTTATTGATAAGTAAATGTAAAGATTTTAATTTAAGTGTTACTCTGGTATCATCATATAGTTGTGAGTAGATGACTGATTTTCTCCAAAAATCAACTTCTCTAAATAAATAAATATATTTCTAAGAAAACCTGATATTTATTATTTAAAGATGATGAGCGATATTTATAATATTTTAGATATAGATAAAAAAATATTTTTTTAAAAAATTTGTGATCTTATCATGAAAGATTATTATGCATAAAAATCACAAAATATTTCGAATACTAATTTTAAATAGTAACTTGAATAATTAATATCTGAAAAATAGATTCCAAGGTTTAATAGACAATCATCAGGCATGATATTACTTTGCATGAATCATGGAAAATTTTAAAAATAACTTTATAAACCTAACCACTTTAAGCATATTTAACCCAAATAACTACTTTAAGAGACTATATTCAAAACCGGATTCTTTTTTATTTTTTTTTAAATTTACGAATTTTTACAAATTATAAGAAAAAATTGAATAAACTGTTAAAATTTTTCAAAATTATAACATTTTTAATTTTTAGAAAAGCTTATTTATTTATTTTTATTTAAGTTTTTGAATTTGACCAATTTTGCGCTATTTCCTTTTATAAAAAAATTAGCCAGTAAAAGTTTGTCTGTTCCTAATTAGCGACATCTAGTGTAATATTATTTTTCATAATCGTTTACAGAGGAAAGACGAATCCAACTGAAATAAAAAATATCAGCATCTATCATTAGGTAAACATTTTGATTTATAAATGTGTTGATTAATCAAATTGGCAATAAATAAGGATGAATTATGAAATTTTTAAAAATAATCTGCGAATTTATTCTGGCGTGACAAGCGTGATAAAAGATTTGTCTTTCAAGAGTTGACGGGTCAGGCTATGGAACATATAATTTATTTATTGTAAGCAGGAGTGGGCGGGTTGGGAATAAAATTTTACGTCGCTACCACTTCTCGTTGAGATTTATATATAATATTATATTTTTTTTAATATTAATTGTGTTTCATCTCATTGTTTCTTTCTTCTAAAGATAGAGAAGCTTTATACAATAAGTCGTTGCAGCTTTTGCTTTATATAAAATATAGAATTAAATTCGCCACTAACAAGTACTGGATAAAAACATCTTAAACAGGTTTTGAGCCAACTCCAAATAGGCTAGACCGATATTTTAAGCGAAGACTAATGCTACCCTCGATTGAGGTTTAAATTTGAAGGATAGCACAATATTATAAAAAAAAATATCACGCATCAAAACTTAGCGAATTTTTTTTATTGTTAGAATTTAACCTATTTAACAATACTATAGGCTACAAAGAGCCCGAAATAAACACAAATTTTTCAATATTTAAATAGATTGTTAGTTGTAATGATAAATTAATTTACTTTGATAGAAATAATGAATTGTTATATTTTTTTCAGATTCTTAGGTGTCCTTTTGCCAATTAATCATGTTTTTATTGATTAACTGTTATTTAAAATAAAATTTCATTAGATTAGGAACATGTCGCCAATAATAAAATATTATATTTAGCGTCTATATAACCTAAAATTAATTAAAATCAAATCCACTCCAAAATCTATTCCTTAAAAAAAATTTCTCGGCTTTCGGCCGTTATATTTGCCCATCTTGTTTTGATGGTTTTTAAAACACGGGAAAAATGGCTAGAATAAATTGTAATAAAACTCTTAAGGAATATTTTTCGGTATATACTTCAATCAAAAAACAAATTGGGCTAAGAGCATAGACACGCGATATGCGGAAAATGATAAAATAATTTATCAAAGATTAAATGATGTGGCGTCAAGTGTTAGTTTTGTCCAAAATCTCGACATGGGTCTAATTTTGAAACGACCCGATTAAGATTTTAGCCAAAATTATATAATGTAAACCTCGAGATTTGGCAATAATATTAACATTTTCTTAATCCTTTTAAAGAGCTAAATATGATTGCGTTAACTTTTTTTTGAAATAGCGCGTAATTAACCGGGATGCGTTGGGTTCCATATTGAGATTCGTATTTTAATAATGTTGACAAAAAGTATTTTATTTTATATTTAATCTAAAAAAAAATATTTTCTAAATCAAATTGACAAGCTAAAACACGATTATTTATTAATAATATTAAATTTGCGCTTCGATAATAGATAATGAGTAGGAGTGCCTAGTTTTAGGGGTAGTGGATTTTTAGTCATATCCACAATTACCTAACACATATTTATTAAATAAATTTTGTTACTTATTGTTAGTGCAAACTCAAAGTACATACACCTATAGTTTAATTAGTAAGCTACTTTTGAGATGTATCAAATTTTTACTTAACACTCTTGACTCTTTGAATCTTTATTATTTAACCTTTTGTATTTTATTTAGTTAAATCTATCTCACATACTTATATACATTTGCACAATTCATGAACCTAAATAAGGAATATAGTATAATAAATAAACACAATCGTTTAAAATTTATTAATTCATTTCTCTCATCTATTTGGTAATTCAAGATATAATTATTTTAAACCTTAATAATACTAATCTTTAATATTTCTGATATCACTAACTAATATTTAAATTTTATCATATACACCATAAAGCTAATTTAAAAATTATGATATAAATAACTTTGTCTCAGTCTATCCAAATAAGATGTTTCAAATTAAAATTTTGTGCATTTTCCTAACTACTGCCGCGCTTAGAATTTTTGATACAGTGACCAATCTATTAAATTTATTTTGCCTATTCTTCCACTAATTAAATCAATAATTATGAATAATATTTCCAAATTCGGATGTTTCCATACAAAAGTGTTTAATTTTAACTCCACAATAACTACGTTAAATCTTATTGAAAATCTTTTATCATCTTTTTCTCAAATATCACATTATTCTATACATATCTTAGACTTTCCTGAACCAAAGTTATCTATTATCCCTCATGCACATAAAAAAAGTTTCAAATTTTAGTCAGACATAAACTATCATTTTAAATAACTTAATTAATCTTCTAATTATCAGAACAATTTTTTTTTACAATAAATTATTTACAACAAATTTTTACGAAAAAAACGATTAATCATAGTTAATTCAAGAGTTGTCAAAAGATACTTTTTAAATGAGTCTAGATACGGATAAAGATACATCGTCTAAACACATATCTAGACACATATGCAATTATTACTTATATACAGGGTTCACCATTTATCGAACCGGAAACTCTTACACAAAATACGTAAAAAACATTTTAAATACTAAAAAAAAATGTCAATATCCTTATTTCTATTGTTCTTTCGAGCAAATTCTTTAAAAGAGCATATTTTTTTTTAAAAAAAAATATTTTACATTATACTTATAATTTGTTTATTAAAAGTTGACAGAATGTATATAAAATTATTTTATAAAAAAATTTTTTAAATAAATTTATTTTATTTAAAATAGTTTTTGTGCACCAATGGAATTGTTTTTAATAATTAATGGGCTTGCTTCATGGCTAAGCATATATATTTCTTTACATAATAAAATCATGCCTTCAGAATCTTAAACTTGATATCTATAGATTTAAATAGGGGAAAAAATAATATTTAATGAATATTTATATATAAGTTTTAATATTGGTCTAAATATTTTTTAATATTATATTTAAATTATATGCTCATTGATAAAATGAATTTTGTAATTCAAAAATATTTATTTTTTCGATAAAAAAAAGCGTTAAATAAAAAGTTTATCAAAAAAAAATCTACAATAGTATCTAGATACAAATACCCTTTATAAAAGTGTCTTTCTATACAGATACTTTTAAGTTTAGAAAAAGTATCTATATCTAGATACTTTAAAAACCCTGGTGAATTCTCAAATTTGGCTTTAATTTAAATTTTCTATAATTTAAAAAAAAAACAATTAAATTATCATTACCACTTTAAAAAAATTTTTAATTTAATTTTCCAGTACTATATATTACTAATAACCCTAACCCATTAAATAATTAACCTAATATTCTTAGAAGGACAAGCACAAATTAAACAAAAGCTATAATGTTCTTCGAATTTATAAAATAGTTTAAATTAATATCCTTAAAATAAACACTCTGTTTTAAATGATGTTGTTAAACAGCTTGTTTTAAGCCGATTTTTAAAAACGGCTAACACATTATTTCATCCAGAAAAATATTAGGCAACCCTGAAGATTTTGCTCATAGAAGGAACAAAGGTTTAGATATATATTATCGAAATCTCGTGTCTTGTAGGCAATATTTTTATGGCTAAAATATTGAGTTTAGCCGTTTTGAAAAATCGACTCAAAACGAGCCGCTTAATAACGCTAGTTTTAAAACTGGCCCATCTGAATTAAAGATACATTTAAAAATTAAGTAAAAAATAAATAAAAATGTGCCACTCTTAATAAAATTAAATTAACTACTCAATAAGTCATAGATATATTAACTAATATAATAAATAATTTGGTTTTAAATATATAATATTAAGAAATTTGACCCCTCATCCTAAGGGAGATGGTAGTCGTAAGCCATGCATCTATCAGCAAGGAAAAAATGGTATCTTTTTTCTTTCTTTCCCATACGATATCTTTAAAAACTAGCATAGATATTTTGATGATAAAATATCCGGTACAAATTTTATCGATTATTTTTTGTCGCAAACAAAATTCAAGCGAAGGTAATTATTCTTTATAAATTTACATGTATAAACCTAAATGTTTAGAACCACAATTTACCATTATACATATTTAAGATTACTACCTTTCACAATTTTTGACATATAATCAGAGTTTGAGCAAAAATTCTTGATCAAATAATACCAAGAAATGTCAAACTCATTTTTATAAAAAGATCTTTTATAAGCAACTATTTTGTAAATTTTATGCATATAAATACTTTACAATTGAATTCATATTTTAAAATTTTAAACATTTTTGAAATTATTTTCAAAATTGATTATAAAAGGATATGCGAAATA